TGATCCCAGAGGCTGTTAGAGACTTGTAGAGTAGGCCTGGGCACACTGCCCAGGGAGCAGGGGCCTGATTTCACCTGGGGGGGGCCTGGGAGGGCATCCTGGAGGAGCCCACTCTTGAGCTAAGCCTGGAAGGATGTGGAGGGAGGAGCCAGACAGAGCAAGAGGGCAAGGGCATCTTGGGCAGAGGGAACAGCACGTGTGGCTGCTCAGAGGAGTAAGGGAAGAGGAAGTTGAGGAACCTGCAGGTCAGTCTGCAGGGATGGGGCCTTGGGGGCCTCACGGTGGTGGGCGCAAGCCAGGGAGTCACATACTGGAAAGGAACAATTGCTTGGGCCACTGTGAGGAGGGTGAATGGGGGTTGAGACCGAAGGCAAGGAAACCAGTTGCAGAGATTGTGGTCTGGGAGGTAGTGAAGGGTAAAATCAGTGGAATTTCAGGACAACCTGGAGAAGGTGGGTGAGCAGAGGCAGTGGAGGGTTGGCAACTTCCTGCCAAGGGGAGGGGACGGGGGTGGAGCAATTCCCGAGATGGCAATGACAGCGATAATGACAACTAGTGCTAAAATTAGTGCTTACTATATGCCAGGGAATGTGCAAAGTGCTTGATATGCCTTATCTCAGTCTCAATCCTGGAATTGTGATTATCAGCAGGGAAGAGAGCCCAGAGATGGAATCCAGAGCTGGGAACAGGGAGGTGCGGGAGGCTGGGTGGCGGAGGTGGGGAGGGGAGGGGAGGAAATGGCTTTTATATAAACAAGATGAAAAACTGTTCAGGGACTGCTCTTGTCATACTTTTCTATTATTAAAAAAGAAAGAAAACACATGTTTTATTAGTAGCTAAGCACTTTTATTTCCACCACTGGTAATAACAAAAAATCTGTAGGGCCTGAAAGCATGGCAATTCTAACCCCTCTATTTAAAAAAGACCTCTGAAGTACATATCCCTTAGGACTATGCATGGGTAGTCAAAGCTTAATGACCAGCGGGGGGACAGAAGGGTGGAGGTGTCTGTGGTCAGAAGCTCGGCTGTCCTGGTGGTTTTATTTCTTGAGCTGACAGTGGTGAATGCAGTGGCGATCAGTGAATTAGTTTCTATACCTTCTTGAATATCTTAAATATTTTATAATGAAAGATTGGGTATGACGGATATTCTCCGGCTCTACATGAAAGCTGGTTGGAGGTACTAAGTCACACTCACAAATTATAGGATCTCTGTCCCCCTAGTTAGCCTGAGTTCCTTTCACCACATCCTGGCTCTGTTTACATACCCCCAGAGACGGGAAGCTTCCTCCCTCTCTTGAAGTTGCCTGGGGCCCTCTTTGAACAGCTCTAATTGTGGGAAAGTTCCTCATAAAGAGCCAGAAGCCTGCTCCAGTCCCTCTGCCCACTGGAACCACACAGTCTGTGTGTGATCACACAAGGCCCAGGCTGCCCTTTAGATCTTTGAAGGCAGTGCTCATTCTCTTCTCTCCATTCCAAATTTTTCTTCTCTGGGTAAAGTCTCAGTTCTCTTTTCAGGCAAGTGACAGAAAACCAGCTCAAACTGGTTTATGATAAAAGGTGAATGCATGGCTCAAGTGACTTAAAGTCCTGGGGTTTCTGAGCTTCAGGCACAGCTGAATCCAGGTGCCCAGAGGGTGTCTCCATGTCTCTCAACTCCTCATTCTTCCCCACTGGCTCTGTTTTCAGACCCACAGTCGACCAGCTCAACTACCCCTGGAGGCTCCAGCAAAGCTCAGTTCTTCCAGCAAAATTCCTGGAGGGCTTAGGTCATTCGAACCATCACTGAACCAATCCCTGTGGCCAGGCAAATGGGGCAGTGTGGTCAAACCTGAGTCATGTGACAATCCCTGCATCCTAGAGGTAGGGACAGCCCAGCCTGAACCACATGGGCCAAAAGTGGGAAAGAATGGTCCCCACAGGAAAATGGATTGTAATTACCACCAAAAGACTAGATGTATTAGGTAGGACGTAGGTTTTATAACAGAGATCCACAATAACACCGGCTTAAACAAGATGGAATTTTATCCCTCCCTAACTCCAGATGCCAGAGATCTTGGGCTGATACGGTTAACTGTATGGTTGGGGTGCCCCATAGCTGAGCATTCATTATCCGAGTTGGAAGTAAGAGTTGTTAAAACATGAATATATTTACTACTGTCCTGGCCACTTACTTCATTCCCACTCAAGCATCTCACCCTACCTAGCACCAGCATCTGTCCGCCCCTCCCATCTGCATCTCTTCTGTCTGTCAGGTCTACTTATGCAAGCTGGCAGCAAAGGAAATCTTCCAAGTTGTAGAATTTCATGAAGTTGATGAGAGTTATGTTGGAGAGCTCCTGGGTCCTGCACACAGTGCCTGACAAACCAAGGATCTGTCTATCTGGCTGGGTCAGCCCTGTCTAAATAATGAAAACCCCCAATGTGAAGAAAGATGAACCTGTGCTTTGGAAGAAAATGATCTGAATGTCATAGAACTGAGAGTGGCCCAAAGAACTCAGGGGGATGTGATGAAACATTTTGGTTGTTAGGACCCAGAAGGTTCTAGTAAGGACCATCAGGCAATTTTGTGGGAAAAACTATGCCTACTCAAATGAACTTTTTGTACTCTAATTGTCTTACTTCATTTTCTGCTGCTATAGCAGAATACCACTCTGGGTAATTTGTAAACAATAGAAATTTATTTGACTCATAATTCTGAAGACTGGGAAGTCCAAGAGTATGGCACCAGCATCTGGTGGGGGCCTTCATGCTGTATCATCCCCATGGTGGAAGGCAGAAGGGCAAGACAGCACTAGAAAGTGAGCAAGAGAGAGCTGAACTCACTTTTACAATAAATCCAGCATCTTGATAATGAGCTCACTCCTTCAATAAAGAGATTAATCCATTCACGAGGGTTTTGCCCTTATGACCTAATCACTTCTTTTTTTTTGTTTTGTTTTTTTTGAGACGGAGTCTTGCTCTGTCGCCCAGGCTGGAGTGCAGTGGCCGGATCTTGGCTCACTGCAAGCTCCGCCTCCCGGGTTTACGCCATTCTCCTGCCTCAACCTCCCGAGTATCTGGGACTACAGAAGCCCGGCCACCTCCCCGGCTAGTTTTTTGTGTTTTTTTGCTAGGTTAGTCGAGAGCGGTGCTTTCACCGTATTAGCTCAGGATTGGTTCTCGAATCTCTGACCTTGATGATCTGCCTGGTCTCCGGCCTTCCCAAGAGTGGCTGGGAGTACAGGTTGACCACCGCCACGGCGGCCATATCACTTCTTAATAGTCCCAACTCTCTAATACCATTCCACAATGGCCAATTTAGAATTTCATCCATAGTCAAGCTGGCATGTGCGCTCATCAACTGTAATCCCAGCCACTTTTGGGATGGCCGATGGGGCCAGGGTGATTCACTTTAGGAGTCAGGAGTTCAAGAACCATCGTGCCAAGATGGTGAAACCTGTCTCTACTAAAAATAACAAAAATTAGCCTGGTGTCCGTGTGTGTGGCACCTTGTAATCCCAGCTACTCAAGAGCTGAGGCAGGAGAATGCTTTAACCTGGAAGGCAGAGTTGCAAGGTGGAGCCGAGGATCGTTGCCATTGTCCTCCACCTGGGGGGACCAAGAACAAATATCTAAAAAAAAAAAAAGATGAAATAAACAGGTTAGCGCGGTGGCTCACTTGTAAATCCCAGCACTTTGGGAGGCCGAGACAGTGCGGAAGGATCACGAGGTCAGAGATCGAACCATGCCACCTGGCTAAAACACGGTTTGGAATAGCCCGTCTCTACTAAAAAATTACAAAACTAAGCCGGGCTGAGGGGTGGATGCGGGCGCTGTAGTCCCAGCTCTCGGGGGAAGGGCTTGAGGGCAGGAGAAGTGGCGGAAACCCCGGGGATGGGAGCTTGCAGGAGGCTAGATCGGCCACTACCTCCTAGCCTAGTGGCAACAGAGCGAGACTCCGTTCTCAAAAAAAAAAAAAAAAAAAAATTAAACAAATAAATTTAAATTTCATCATAAGTTTTAGAGGGGACAGTCAAACCATAACACTAAGTATTAGCACATTAACCTAAGAATTAGCATATTAACCTAAATGTTGTTTGTGGAAGATAAAATGTGTATATTTTCAGAGTTTTAATTTCATTTTTCAAAACAAAGCTCCAATTAAACATTTTTTTCCAATTACTAAGAAATGTTGGTTCCCAGAGCTTTGACTTGTGGTCAAAGTGGTCTTTTTCTCAAGATAATGAGACCCTTCTTTAGAGTGGGTTCAATGTCTGTCTCACTTGCCAGACTATGGTATGGGTGCTGTGTGGTGGGGCCCACATCATTATTCCTGGAGATGGAATCTAGAATGAGGCTTGGCTTGACCAGGCGCAGTGTCTCACGCCTGTAATCCCAGCACTCTGGGAGGCCAAGGCGGGTGGATGACAAGGTCAGGAGTTCAAGACCAGCCTGGCCAAGATGTTGAAACTCCGTCTCTACTAAAAATACAAAAATTAGCCGGGTGTGGTGGCAGGCGCCTGTAATCCCAGCTACTCAGGAGGTTGAGGCAGAGAATTGCTTGAACCCGGGAGGCAGAGGTTGTAGCGAGCCGAGATCGTGCCACTGCACTCCAGCCTGGACAACAAAGCGAGACTCCATCCCAAACAAACAAACAAACAAAGAATGAGGTTTGGCTCGATAAATATGTATTGAATGAATGAATGGAAGATCTTAGTAAGGCCTGTGTGGCTCTGGCCCAGCTGGTCTGGGGCCCCTTAAGGGGCATCCCTGGAACTGGACAGAATTCCCCTGTCTGTGGTGATCAAATTTGCCTGGAGTTGGCCATGTACAGTGGCTCACACCTGTAATCCCAGCACTTTGGGAGGCCAAGGTAGGCAAGGCAAATCACTTAACTCAGGAGTTCAAGACCAGCCTGAGCAACATGGCAAAAACCCATCTCTACAAAAAATGCAAAAATTAGCTGGGCGTGATAGCGAGTACCTGTAGTCTGAGCAACTTGGGAGGCTGAGATGGGAGGGCTGCTTGAGCTTGGGAGGTTGAGGCTGCAGTGGGTCATGATGGTGTCACTGTACAGACAGCCTGGTGACAGAGCGAGATCCTGTCTGGGAAAAAAAAAAAAAAACCACAATTGCCTGGAGCTAAGTGGGGCTCTCACCTGCTCCCTCTCTTCTCTCTGCTAGAGACCGGAGGCCTTGAAGGAAGGAGGCCCAACGGTCTCTTCTGGCTCTGCTTCCCTATCACCGCCCCTACTTCCCCGCATCCCTTTCCCTGGCAGAGGCTTCTTGCCATAGCGCTCTGGGCACTCACAAGACCTTCAAAAGAAAGGTTCACATTCATATTTGTCTTCTCTGTAGAAGTGCTAGAGGCTGATGGGGGGAGGGGGAGCAGCAACGCTTGGTGGTCCAGAGCTCTACAGTGTTAAACTGTTTTAAATCTTCATAAGCCCAGCAGGTAGGGATTGCTACACTCCTCCTGTTAGAAACCAGAGTCTGAGAGAGGGTGAGGAAGTACCCAAGGCGGTGCTATTGGTGGCAGGGTGGCAGAGTTGGGGCAGGAGTTCTGATTTTCCATCTCATTCCTCTGTTGCTGTCTAAGCAGAGAGCCTGGCTGACAGCTACCTACACAGAGGAAGGTATTCTGGGAGAGTTTCCTCCCCTCTCTAGGCCTCTATGTTTTCTGCAAAATGGAGATAATAAGACTGAAATGCACACAGTAGGTGCCAAATAAGTACTAGCCACGTGCTTGCTAATGGGAGTCCTGCTGCACACTCACACTCTGCCTGGGCTCTGTAAGAACAGCCCGGAGCCTCCATCCAGGAGTTTTCATCGCAGAGGGGGCAGGACAGCAGCATGGGTAGGAGCTCGGGCCAGGAGAATCCCTACTCTAGGTATGACTGTGTGATCTTGGGCAAGTGACTTCATTCCGATTGTGTTTTGTCATCTGAACAAGGAGGCTATTGAAATGCGGGTGTCTACCTAGTGAGACAGCGGCTGCAGGAATCACCTGGCTACAGTAAGCGCCCTTGCATCCTATTGAGTGAGTCAAGGATAAGCCTGGTCCCTGGCAGGATGCAGGATTCTATCCTGAGATACACCCCCTCTGCTTTCCCCTATTCCCGCCCACCAGGGCCTCTCCTCCAGGCAGGAAACATGATCTCCTTTTGACCTATGAGAAAACAGACAGGAAGTTCAAGGCCACACAGATGTGAGTGTTAAGAACCCTGGGGGGAAAGTGTCTGAAACTCAAGGCTTTGTGTGTGTGTGTGTGTGTGTGTGTGTGTGTTTGTGTGTGTCTCTGTGTGTGTGTCGGGCTGTGTTGGGGGGTTGGTCAACCAGGTGATTTAAATGTGGGTATAGAACAATAGGTAGTGGTGGGGCCCCCAAGAACCTAGATTCCTTAAAGATATTTTTCTTCCTCTCTCTCTTCTCTCTCTCTCCCTTCCTCCCCCCTCCCCCTCCCCTCCCCTCCCCTTCCCTTCCTTTCTCTCTCTCTTTCTTTCTCTCTCTCTATTTTCTTTATTTTCTCTCTCTCTCTTTCTTATTTTTTTTTTTTTGAGACGGGGTCTCACTCTGTCTCCCAGGCTGGAGTGCAGTAGCACTATCGTGGCTTATTGCAGCCTCGACCTCCCTGGCTCAAGCGATTCTCCCACCTCAGCCTTCCAAGTAGCTGGGACTACAAACATGCACCACTGTACCTGGCTAATTAAAATTAAAAAAAAAAAACCAAAATTTTTTTTTTTTTTTTTTCCGTAGAGATGAGGTCTCACTGTGTTGCCCAGGCTAGCCTCAAACTCTGGGCTCAAGTGATCCTCTGGCCTTGGCCTCCCAAAGTGCTGGAATTTACAGGCATGAGCCACTGTACCTGGCAACATATGTCAACTTCAAATTTTTCACTTTTTGCTCTGCTTTCCAATCAAAGCAAACCCAGGAGCCTGAGTTCAGCCTTTGAGCTGCAAGTCTGAGACCCTGCACCAGCACTGACTTTATTGGGCCTTTGCATTGCACAGCGTGCACACCCCTGCTCACCCTCCTACCTGTGTGCAAATGAGGATGACAAGCAGGGTCAGCAGCAGAAGTCTCTTGGGGCTAGCTCTGCTGACAGTGATCACTGATCAGTTCCTAGTTCTCCTCTGAGAAGCCTGAGCCCTCTCAGCCAGCATCATGCAGAGCAGTCTCAGGATGGTTAGGCCTATGGCTGTCCTCCTCTGGAAGGGCCCTCGTTTGTTCAGAAGCCTCCCCTGGTTAAAGCAGGCAGAGGAAAATCACTCTTGAAAGCTCAACTCACCAATCACCTCCTCCAGGAAGCCTTCCCCGAATTCCTTGACAGGACTAGGTCATTACTCTGCAGGCCTGAGCACCACAGCACTCTTCACGGGTAACATTCACATTGCAACCCAGGGTCTAACCCAGTGTCTGACCCACAGTGGGCTCTCCATGCATGAAATGGGTGACTAAACTCACCTGCTGTGTGACTTTGGATCAGTGACTTCACCTCTCTGAGCCTTGATTTTCCTATCTGTAAAATGAGTTGTGGCGAGGCAGCATTCAGAGGGTCCCTGCAGATGTGATTAAATCAATTAAGGTTCTTCTTGAGATGGAGGGATTAGCCTGGATTATCCAGGTGGCCCAGAATGAAATCACAAGGGTCCTCATGAGCAGAGGCAGGAAGGTCAAGGGAGGAAGTAGGAGCTGGGACAATGAAAGCAATTGTTTTCTTGCGTGTTCTAGCTTCTGGAGGTCACCAAGTGGTCACAAGCAGAGAAACACAGGCAACCTCCAGAAACTGGAAAAGGCAAGGAACAGATTCTCTCCGGGAGACGCCAGGAGAGCAGGTCCGGCCCACAGCTTGGCTTTAGCCCAGTGAAACTGATTTTGGAGTTCTGATCTCCAGAACTGTAAAGAATAAGTCTGTCCAGCCTGGGCAACATGGCGAAACCCACTCTCCACAAAAAATACAAAAATGAGCTAGGCATGGTGGTGTGTGCCTGTGATCCCAGCTACTCGGAAGGCTGAGGCACGAGAATCAGTTGAACCCGAGAGGCAGAGGTTGCAGTGAGCCGAGATTGTGCCACTGCACTCCAGCCTGGGCAACAGAGCGAGACTCTGTCTTAAAAAATAATAAATCAATAAATAAACAAATAAATTTGTGTTTTTTTTTTTTTTTTTTTGAGACGGAGTCTCGCTCTGTCGCCCAGGCTGGAGTGCAGTGGCCGGATCTCAGCTCACTGCAAGCTCCGCCTCCCGGGTTCACGCCATTCTCCTGCCTCAGCCTCCCGAGTAGCTGGGACTACAGGCGCCCGCCACCTCGCCCGGCTAGTTTTTTGTATTTTTTAGTAGAGACGGGGTTTCTCCATGTTTCTCCTGACCTCGTGATCCGCCCATCTCGGCCTCCCAAAGTGCTGGGATTACAGGCTTGAGCCACCGTGCCCGGCCAATTTGTGTTATTTTAAGCCACTTGTGGAATTTGTTACAACATCCCTAGGCACCTGGCACACAGTAGGTACTCAAAAGTGGCAGTTCTGGCCAGGCGTGGTGGCTCACACTTGTAATTTCAGCACTTTGGGAGGCCAAGGCAGGAGGATCACTGCCCAGAATTCAAGACCAGCCTGGGCAACATAGCAAGATGCCATCTCTATAAAAATTAAATTGGCCAGGCATAGTGGTGTATGCCTGTGGTCCCAGCTACTTAGGGGGCTGAGGTGGGAGAACAGCTTGAGTCCAGGAGTTCGAGGCTGCAGTCAGCTATGATCACATCCCTGCACTCCAGCCTGGGCAACAGAGTCAGACCCTGTCTCACATACACGTACACACACTCTCTCACACACACACACACACACACACAGAGGCAGTTGTTAGTACCTTGACCCCACACCCTCTTCCATCTGCCTGCACATTCCTTCCTCCTCTCACTCTCTGGGACACCCATCCCCTTTGCCACCCAGGGCTCCCCTCCTGCCCATCCTCTGAGGTCTGGCTCAATCGCCATCTCCTCCAACGCTTCACTGAACTGACATCCAGGAATGCTAATCCCTTGAACAAATGTGTTTCCTTGAGTGGTGCCTGAACTATGGCTCCCAAAGAGGCCAGGCTTGTGATCCTCTTTGTACCCCCAGCCCTGCGTATAGGGTCCAGTGGCCCCAGTCATGTAAACTTGATACCAAGGAATTTTCAAAACAAAAGTACCTAATTCCAAGGCCAGGAAATGGACTCTCCTGGACTTCGGGTTCCAGCTGCTTTCCCGCCCTCTCCAGGTAGAGAAGCTGGCCTTGGGGACCCCTGTGTGGGAACCAGAAATCCCCCAGCAAGGCCTCCTTGTCTTGCCTCCCACTGGGGTCCCTAGAACCAGCCTTCCCTTAGGCTCCACTTAGGAGCAGGTTAAGGTAAGGCAGGGAGGGCAGGAGACCAGCTCGGGGTGGGGACGGGGGGCCCTGGATGGATGACAGGGACTGTTCCCATTAATCTGGCATCTTAAAGCAGTAACAGCACTTACTGCATGCCAGGCTGAGAGCTAAATGCTTTCCACACGTACCTCATTCAATCCTCTCAACAGACCCATGAGCTAGGTACTATTATCCCCATTCTACAGATGAGGAAACTGAGGCTCAGCAAGTTAAGTAGTTTGCTCAAAGCCACCCAGCTGGGCACAGAGGAGCCATGTTTAGAAACCAGATTTGCAGGTGCAGTGGCTCACGCCTGAAATCTCAGCACTTTGCGAGGCCGAGGCGGGCAGATCACCTGAGGTCAGGAGTTCAAGACCAGCCTGACCAACATGGAGAAATCCTGTCTCTACCAAAAATACAAAATTAGCCGGGTGTGGCAGTGCATGCTTATACTCCCAGCTACTCGAGAGACTGAGGTAGGAGAACTGCTTGAACCTGAGAGGCGGAGGTTGTGGTGAGCCAAGATCGCACTGTTGCACTCCAGCCTGGGCAACAGGGGCAAAACTCCGTGTCAAAAAAAAGAAAAAAGAAAAGAAAAGAAAAGAAAGAAAGAAAATAAAAAAGAAACCAGATGTGTCTTCCCCAGAAACTGTGCTTAAAACAAGCTTAAAACGACACAATTCGCACTGGGATCCAGCTCTGTCTTGCTCTTGATATTCACCCTGGGAGACGGGTAGCCAAGCCCAGTGGGAAGGGCTGTGGGGACCGGTGTTGATTCTGTGCTGCAGCTTGAGAACCTGGAGAGGGGACTTCACCACTCTGCACCTGTTTCCTCATCCACAAAATGTGATGAGCTGACCTCACAGAGGGGGCACCGGGATCTAATGAGACCATGCACAGAAGGGGCACAGCAAGCCTGGGACAGAGTGAGGCCCTCTACCTATCACAATACCTTATTTTGCAGATGCGGGACTCACTTGTCCCACTGCATGACTCACTTGTCCCAGGTCACCCACAAGCTCTGATGCCTTGACCAGCTCCCCTCTGCCCAACCAAAAGACAAACAAGGGAGGCTTCGATGGGGCTGTTAATAGGGTCATGTCCCACAGACCCTAGAGGCTGGGTGGGGCTGGGAGCCTTCCCAAGCAGGTGGCAGTGAGCTCCCACCTGAGCAATGGCAAGTAGAGACCTAGGCATGAAACTGCTCAGAGGTCTATAACTTAAGTTTCACTCATTCATTCAACGTGCCTCTGTTTAAAGTCTGCCAGTGGCTACCTTCCTTGCACCTCACTGGGCCCTCTGCAGCCCTGCAGGCTCTGGCCCTCCTGTTATGGCTGTGACTTCAGTGTGCCCATTACTTGTTCCCTTGCTCACGGCCTCCTCACAATTCCACTTACTCACCAAGTTCTCTCCTGCCTCAGGACCTTTGCACTTGATGTTCTCTCTGCCAAGGATGCTCTTCCCAGCAGGACAGGCTCCTGTAGTCCCAGCTACTCAGAAGGCTGAGGTGGCAGGACTGTTTGAGGCCAGGAATTCAAGTTCGGTCTCGGCAACACAGCAAGACCCTGCCTCTAAAAGAAAAAAAATGCTCTTCCCAGACTTTACCCATGGCGGTTCCTCCTGTTATTTAGATCTTTGCACAGACAGGCCTCCTTCTCTCACCACCAGTCAAGGAGCCCTAGCCGTCACTTCACCTGCTAATTTTCTTCCTAGCACTTACTGCTCTAAAATTATCTTCGTCATGTATCTAAGCATTTGTTTGCTGTCTGTCTCTTCCCACCAGGATGCCAGCTCCATGACAGCAGGGACCGCGTTGTCTCTGCTCATTCCTCAAGACTCAGCAAGGTGCCAGGTGCCCAGTAAATGAAGTTTACATGGAACCAATAGAGTTTTGAAATCGAAAATGTTTCTCAAACTGTAAAGAAGTGGGCACAGGTGAGGGCTAAAGGAGTGAGGGTGGGGGCCGGGCCTGACGCTGGAAGCTCCAGAACGCAGGGCGCTAGAGTCCTCCCGGGCCTCACCGGGATCCCACCGTAGAGGGCCCCTCCCGCAGGCCGGCGGGAGGGCAGGCGGGGGGCGCGCAGTGGGGCGCGCGGACCGCCAGGGGGTGCTGTCGGGGCGCGCACGGCCCACCTGGCGCCCGGGGCCGCGAGCGAGCACAGCCAGGCCGCCCGGGAACTTTTTTCCTCGCGCTCTCGCTCTCCTTCTCCCCCCGCGCGTCGCCCGCCCGCCCGTCCGCTCTTCCTGTGCGGAGGGGATCGCATTTCCCCGCGGCACCCGCGGACACCAGGCAGGCCCGGCCGGGTGCGCGGCCAGGGCCCGGTCCCCGAGCCGCCCGCTCCCCGCGCCCCCGGGCGCCGCCCCCGCCCGCGGCTGGGCTCCGAGAGACTAGTGGGAGAGCGAGTGCGGCGAAGGCGAGAGGCGAGCCGAGCAGGCCGCCCAGCCCGCGGCCCGAGCGCCGGCGCGAGGAGGGGGCGCCGCGGCCCACCCTCCTTCCTGCCTGGCCGCGGGCCGGCGGGGCCGCCGCGCCCCGACCCCCATGGCCACCCAGGCCTCCGGGCCGCGAAGTCGCAGCGCCAGACCCAGGGCCCCCGAGTGAGCGCGGGCGCCGAGGTGAGCAGCGAGCGCCGGGGCGCGGGGGGCTCAGTGGACGCTGCCCCGGGGCGGGGGCGGCGCGAGGCGTCGGGATCCGGGGCTGGGTGAGGAGCCGAGGCAGGTTCGGGGACCGAGAGCGCGCGCTGGGTGGAGATGTGGGGTCCGCGGGGTCCTTGCTTTGTGTGGTGTGGGGGGTGCGCGAGGTCACCGGATGGACGTCTGGGGAGCTGCAGGGTGGGGGCGCCCTGCGCCGCGGCTGAGGGTCTTCTGGGGAATGTGCGGCCGGCTGAGGTCGGGTTGGGGCATGGCGCGAGGGGCGAGTGTGGCAAGGGCTCTGCGTGCGCCGAGGCGCGGAGTGTTTGCGGAGCGTGGGGTGGCGACGTGGGGAACATTAGCGCGGCGCCGGGGGCGGAGGGGAGCTTTGTGAGTGCGTCCGAGGTGGGGGGCGGGGAGCTGACTTCCCCATGCGTGACCCGGGCCCGGCGTGGCCGTCGCGTAGGAGTCAGGGCCCGCAGGGGCGGCGAAGGCCGTGTGTGGCGAGATGGGGTGCGCGGGCTCTCTGCGGTGTCCCCTCCCGGGCAGCGGCGCCGGGGCCTGTGCGCAGGCCCCGAGGCCGGGCAGGAAGCGGCCCCCGCGACTTGGGGAGCTCTGTAGCGGCCCGGGACGCACTGGCCCTTCGGGGATGACGTCACGGGCGGGGGCCCCGGACACGCGAGCCTGGCACCCCACAGACAGCGGCGCAGCCCGCCGCCCCGCCGCTCTTTTCGAGGTCGGCCCCCCTCTCCCGCGCCTTGAAGGCAGGGAACCCGGGAGAAGGACATGGGGGCCGAGTGCGGCGGGGACAGGGGGTGGCAGGACGCGAGGGTGACATTTGGAGCCTGGTCGCGCCAGGGGCCTCCGTGGTGGGGCAGAAGGGAAGCGAAACACCAGCCAGGCCCTAGGCCGTCGCGGCCACAGCTTCCTGGGGCGCTCGTTTTCCCGGCGAGCAGTTTTCCTTCTTGGGACTCTTGGTCGTTATCCAGTCCACGCAGGGGCCGGAGTGCGGGCTGCAGCGGTGCCCTCCTGCGCGGAGCCCGGGCTGGCGGGGGCGCGGCGGGCCTTGGGCTCTGAATGGATGGGAGCGAGTGTAACAATGCGCCGGTGGGGGCTGGGGGAGGGGAGGCCGCGCGCCTGAATGGCGGAGCCGGCCGGGCGCTGCTCCGCGCGCCTCACTCTCTCCCGGGCCGCCTGCCTCGCGGTTTCGGCGGGCCCGGATTCAGGGACCCACTCGGGACCTGCACGGTTCCTCCCACCAATATTGCCCCCCCGCCTCCCCTTTATGTCTTTTCCAACGCAGTAGTGTGTTGAGAATTCAAGGGCATTACATCTGGTTGCAATCCAGTTTCATGCCGCTGCCGGGCTGTTAAGACCTCGCGCTGACGTCAGAGCAGGGGAATTACTTCTTTTTATTTTATCTTTTTTTAGTTGTCTGCTGCCCTGGGAGGAGAGGCGGGGGTGGGTTAGGCGAGCTCTGATGTGGAGGCGCCAGCGTGATGGGAGCCCCGAGCTGGGGGCTCTGCTTCTCTTCCTGCCACTGCCCCCCTCCGTTCTCCATACAAACCTCGTTCTGCTCAGGGTCAGGCCCACCTCAGCTGGGGGGCAGCCCTCACTGCAGACTGAGTGGTGGCCCCTCCCTGCTGACCACACAGCTGGGTTTTCAGAGGCTTCCCTGGGACGTGGCCCTCGGGATCTGGAAGCTGGAAAGGAATCTTCTAGTTTCCCACCCCTCCCCCTCTTGACAGGCAAGCCGGTAGGAGCAAGGAGAAGTGGCCTTTTGCGTGACACAGAAGTGGACACAGTCATTCTGATCTCAGGGCAGACTCAGCCCTATAACTCTGGCAAAAGCTCTCACAAGCAAAAGACTTGGAGAGGAGGAGAATGTATCAAGGCGAGATCCAGGCCCTAGAAGCCAACTGTGGAGTGGGCAAAATAGGACCTTTCCACCAACCTAGCATCCCTCTGGCTTCTATGGAGATAAAGGGAACTCAGGGGTATTGGAGCTGCCTTTCTCTTCCACTAGACTGTGGGACTCTTGTAGGCAGGGACCCTGTCTTACTCTGTTTATTTTATTTTTGAGGCAGGGTCTTGCTGTGTGGCCCAGGCTGGAGTGCCTTGGCACAAACACAGCTCACTTCAGCCTCAACCTCCGGGGCTCAAGCGATCCTCCAGCCTCAGTCTCCTGAGTAGCTGGGATCATAGGCCCCCAATACCACACCTAGCTAATTTTTAATTTTTTTTTTTTTTTCCCTAGAGACAGGGGTCTTGCCATGGCTGGTCTTGAAGTCCTGGGCTCAAGCTATCCTCCCTCTTTGGCCTCCCAAAGTGCTGGGATTACAGGAGTGAGTCACTGCACCCAACCTTACTCCTCTTTAGACTCCCAAGCTTAGACCAATGGCTTTCAAACTCTTGCCCGTGACATATAGTAAGAAATACATTGTAGGTAACTACACAGGTCACACTGTATATAGCTGAAACAAAAGTTTACTGAAATAACTCCCTTACTGTCTGCTGGTCTGTGATACTTTTTGTTCTAGTGTATTTGATTTTTTTTTAATTACTCATTGCTACCCACGAAATTAATTTTGCAATCCACTGATGGGTCATACCCAGAATTTGAAAGAAACAGGCCTAGGAAATGAATTTGCCATCTATTCATGCAACAGATGTTCATTGCAACCCTAATAATTCCTGCCATTTTAAACTACTCAAGTAACACTTGGATACTTGGGTGAAAAATGCAAATAAGCCAGAAATATATGTAGTAAAAGTTCCCTTGGCACCCTCCCTGCAGGTAACCCCAGTTAATAGTTTGAACGGGTCCTTCCAGACTTTTTGTTACATATATATGTGTATATACGTGTATCACATATATATGTGTGTATATGTGTATCACATGTGTATGTGTATCACATATATATGTGTGTATATGTGTATCATATGTGTGTATATGTGTGTATCACATGTGTGTATATGTGTGTATCACATGTGTGTATATGTGTGTGTCACATATATGTGTGTATATGTGTGTGTCACATATATATGTGTGTATATGTGTGTATCACATATACCAATCCATGCATAGTTTTCTTTTTCCCCAAGTGAGGACACACTGACTATGGGCTCTTACTGGGCAGCTTCCTTTTTCCTCTCTGTTTGTCTTGGAGAGGCTGGTTGTGTGGCAAAGTCCTTCAGGGCAAGTTCTGGGTTGACTCCTGGCTCCACCACATACTGAGCAGGCCGTTTACCTCTCTGTGCCTCAGTGTCCCCATCTTTACAATCAGAGTAACAGTACAGACCTCACGGGACTGAAGTGAAGATGCAGTGAGTTAATCCATATGAAGTTTAGAGCAGTGCTTATGCCAGTAAATGCTGATTGCTGCTGTCATTATTGTATTATTATTGCTATTCTATCTCTATGGCAGCCCATGTTTGAAATGCATTGCTTTGAACAGCTGCCTGTGGCTGGGTGTCTTTTTCCTCCCCTATCCAATGTGTGGCTCCACAGGGAGGGAGGAGGTGCAACAGCAATGGTGTGCACAGAGCAGCGTCTCTGTGGGAGAGGCACCTGGGTGCTGGGCCCAAGGGAACAGGGATTTTCCAAGGACCCACTATTTCCAAAGTTCTGTGCTTAATGTCGGGGTCCAAGCAGGAAGCATCCCTGCACTTGACCACAAGAAGGTCACAGCCCAGTGGGTAATTGGGACCCAGCTCATAGCCAAGGCCTTGACCAGAGCTGGGGGCTTCCTGGAGGAGGGGCCTTTGAGCAGGTGCTTCAGGCACGGCAAGGTAAGAATGAGAGGGGCATTCCTGGCAGAGGGAACGCAGTGAGCAGAGCAAGTCTTTGGAGGCTGGAAGGGATGTGGCCTGTGTGCTGTGTGGCCAAGAGGGGAGGACTTGGCTCAGAAAGAATGGTGGCGGAAGAGGGATGGGCTGTTGCTGGGACCTCCTCACTGGCCTCCCTGCCTCCATCCTGTCCCCTCCCAGGTGCTGGCCAGCAGCACTGTCAGTGATCATTCTAAACCCAGCAGATAACCTCCAGTGGCTCCTGCTGCCTTCTGAATAAAGGTCCCATCTGTAGTTCTTCCCACGCTGCCCAGGGCCATTTCTGGTGTCCTCTGCCTGCCCTGTCCTCATTCAGTCCTGTCCCCTCCAGCCATAGCCGGCACCTCCTTGTTAAGATGTAGCCATGTGCATCCCTGCCTCTGTGCATTGGGCTGGGCTGTTCCTTCCACCTGGGATGCCCTTCACCTTCCTCCCTGCTGCCCCAGACCAAAACAGACGTCCTGTCTCCTCCTCCTCTGACCTCCGAGGCAGTATGAGTCATCTCCCTTTGTC